TTAGGAAAGAGAAAAAGGATAGGGACATGAAGAATTCAGAAGATTAGAATTTGGTAGAACACAAAGAGTGGATGCACCTTCGCCATTGCAATCGATTTTGAGCCATGTCATTCAAGGTCTCTAACCATCGACTGCTATCATCTAGCGAATCCCAACCAGGTAGTCTACACCTACCAGCATGACTCAGTCCAATCATCAGTGACTTCATGGATTTTTGCCATGTTTTGGTCTGGCCACCCCTAGCTTTCTTCCAATCTACTCCTACACCATAAAGCATTGCACGTCGGGGCAGTCGGTGGTTGGGCATACGTAATACGTGTCCCAGTCATCTCAACTGATGAAGTTTCACTACTTCAATCAACTAGCCATTACGTAAAGAGAGAAATGATCAAGACTGATCATTAGAGTGGAATTAATAAAATCAATAACCAGTAGACGGTTAAACATAGAAATTATAAGGTATTTGTGAAGATTGTTGAACTTGATAGTTAATATAACGGATTGATCTTAAGTAGGTAGAGTAAGCAGTAGGCTCCGAGGTGATGAATCTTCATCGACTGAGATGATTAGGCCACGTATTACTTATATATGAACACCGATTACCACGACGCGCTATGTTCACTAGTATTGGGGAGGGTTGGAAGAGAGTTAGGGGCGACCAAACCAAAACGTGGCATCAATGCTTGAAGTCACTAACTTCTAGTCTGAGCCATGTTGACAGATGCAGACTACTTGGTTGGGGGTCCGCGTGACTATAGTAACCAATGGTTGGAGACTCTAGGTGACATGGCTCAGAATCGATTACAATGACGTAGGTATATAGACTCTTTATCTTCCCTTAAACCTTGAGATTAAAATTGCTTCATATCTATCCTTATATAAAAACTTTCTTTTATAAATAACCACCACTAAATTAACTACTTCTATGAATCCGGCGTTCATCTTGTTGTGCTAACGAGGTATGGCAACTTGAACCGATGCATATATGTGCCTGGTCCTACGTCAAAACTAACTGACTGCAATTCAATAATTTTTTGTGTTTTTTTCAATTTATTGTTTATCATGTTGTTGTTTTTTCCAACTATGTCAAATCATAAACAACAGATTCGTTAATTTTCGTTTTATGATTGAATTTAGTTAACTAACGTTCACTATTTATGTATACAACCTGGGGTTGTTGTTTTTTGTTTATTATTAGTAGTATAAAACATTAAGTAAAGTGTTGAATTGTATAAGATATCAATCAGGTGGAAACAAGTAACATGATCAATATTTCATTCAGTTAGTAACAACATAAATAGTATGAATAATACTTATTATTACTATAGCAATAATAATGTCAATTATTTACTATGTGAGAACTTATGTACTTGGTTTTCAACAAAAAAAGCTTTTTTACGTGAAGGTTAGTAATAGTATCTAGTTGAAAGCATGAGTCAATTATGAAACATACCAAATCTCCACAAAACCCCTTCTAATAGTATCTAGGTAAATAGAAACTGTTATGTAGTAGCGAAGACATAAGTACGAGTAACTTGCAGGACATACTATTGGACTATCATTCTTATTGTATAACTATTCGGTAACTAGATTATCTATATCTATATTCATCTTATTGTAAGCTTCATTTTGACCTATTGATTATTATTGTATGATTTACTGTTCCTAATTTATACTCAGTTTATTGATTATTGTCTCCTACGCTTACAGCCTCATTTGGCTTGGTTTTGTACAAATATTATTTTCTATTTTATGGTATGATGTGGCCTGTCTGTCTAATATATAAACAAAGTATGCTTGAAACAAACGATTCGTATTGCCGAGGCCTCTATTGGTGTTTTGGACTCAAGTGGACGGGTTAGGCGGATAAGGACCAATAAGGACGCTAGTTTACTCATACTAATCGAACGTCATTGTCACAGTGTGAAGGTCGTAGAAGGCATATTCTATTGATGGATAACGAATGGATAGCGAATTACGTCCTTGTTAAATTCGTAAGGTCATAACGAATCAGCGACGACCTTGATCATGTCATAACAATGGGCCACAGCGTAGATCAAAAACATAACAAATTGGCGACGGCTAGGTCAAGTCTTAACAGAAACAAATGGAGCGGGATTCGAATCTACAACTTAATAATTTAAGTCAAGTTTAATAGTAGCTAGCAATGGGATCTAGGGTGCATATTGCATCTTAATTAGAACTCGTCACCTGAATATACCTGTATTTGAATGTTGACATCGAAACCAGAATTCAAATTAAGTAATTTACGTTTCAAACGTCCAACGTGTTAGCACATATATCATTAATAATAATAAGAAAGACTGGTCTATTGTAGTATATAACATCAACAGAAAGATTCAGACAACCAAAACAGATGAATTAGAATTCACTCTATTGCACAAGCCAGTAGCTATTCAAATTCAGAACAACATATGTAAGCGAACAATCACAATATGGGAATTTTTCAAATTATTCAAATTCAGTAACTGATTGGATAATGTGTTGGACGTTTGAAGCAAGAGCTACTGGGTTCGATTCCCGATATGGACATTAACATTCGCAAGAGTCCCATACTAGGACGAAAAGCTATTCAGGTGCTTTCAGGTTGTGCGTGGTTGCCCAACGTAAATCAGTTCGTGATATGAATAAAATTGAGCCACATTCACAGCCATATACTGAAAATAGAATAGAGTTCAATCATTTCAAAATGATTGGAATAGTATTGTGTTATTAAATTTCTACAAAAATCAAATATTCCCTAGTTATCTAAAGAACTACAAAAGTCAGTCAAAAGTTCAATCATGTAATCACTTTGCCTCAGCAAGCTCCTTCTTTAAAATCATACATACAGTCAAGAGTCGACTAAAAAGGAATACAAATGAAAAGCCTATGCACACCACAAGTCATAATCATCCACTTATCCAATCCTAAACTTTGAGTACAATAACACTATATTTAATCCCTCATTTTATTTTGGCCTTAAGATTTCTTTCTATATCTTCCATAATCAATCTTTTCTTTCTATTCCTACAACTATTCATTAACCATTATTACCTTATTACCTTATGCTTACTATGAGCAACATCCCTCTGTGGGAGAGGACAAACCAGCTTCCAGATGAAGAGGAAATTAGGAAAAGACGTTGGAAGTGGATAAGACATACATTGAAGAAATCACCAATGTGCATCACGAGGCAATTCCTAACATGGAATCCGGAAGCGAAGCCGAAAAGAGGGAGGCCAAAGAACACATTACGCCGGGAAATGGAAGCAGATATGAAAAGGATGAATAACAACTGGAAAGAACTAGAAAGGAAGGCTCAGGACAGGGTTGGATGAAGAATGCTGGTGAGCGGCCTATGCTCCTCGACGAGGGGTAACAGGCGTAAGTAGGTAAGTACCTTATATGTGTAAATTATATTTGAAATAGTCTCAGCGGTTAAAATTTTAATAATCCCAACGTTTCGTCCAGCTAACTTGTCTGGACTTCTTCAGGGTAAAATATTTTGTTATCTTGGAATCAATAGAAAAAATGTATTTCTGATGTTTCATCACTTCAGATAAGTCACTTCTTTAGAGTAAATAAATAATCGAATTAAATGAACACAAGTTTAAATTGTACCCTAAAAAATATATTATACTTATTATTCGAACACTTCATTTCTACCCGAAGTTTGTGCTGATGATGTCGTTCAGAAGGACGATGAAAGCTCCACGATTAAAACCATCCAGCTCAGAGAACAAACCTACATCAAAATCATCCACCTGAATTACAAATCTTCTCCACTTATTATTAACTTTCTATTTAATGCTCAAATGTATTTGAAACTATAAGATCCAACTTTGGCATTGATACTTCACATTATTAGCTTAGTTAATTATTCTATTCTTAATATTTAATCAGTGAATAGTTACCTTCACCTTAAACATTTTTTCATTGACTGATTATATTATATAATTTCTTTGGAATATCTGATTATTGTAAACAATATCTAACATGATAACAACTAAATTTCTTTAAAATTTTTGTCAACAACACTATTCTATTTTACAATAAGGCAACTATTTTTAGAAAGTGAACAAGGTTGTACTACTTTAAGAAAACAAATCATTAGCAACAAACTTTTCTTTGTTGATTGATCTTTACAATCTAATGGTTGAAGTTGAAATCATGAGTCAATTGAAGTTAAACTAACATGGAAAACCTGGAAGCACTGGACGGTCGTTTCGTCTTATTGTGGGACTTATCCGCAGGACTAGCGTGCGAGACTGGTAGGTCCTAGGTTCGAATCTCGCGAGGTGGGATCGTGGATTCCCACTGCCACTGAGGAGTTCCATAATAGGACGAAACGGCTATCAAGCAGTGCTTCCAAGTTTTTCATGGTGGTCTAGCTTCAATTGATTCATGATTTCAACTATATATAAAAAATATTAAGAAATCAGTTTAAAGATTTTCTAGAAATTTCACTGTATTGTTCAAAAACCTCAAATGAAAATGTTTTAAAACAGCGAGATTTATTTTGTTTTAAATAAAACAAGAATACTGTTTCGGATAGTTGTTTGTAGAATAATGAATAAGAATTGTAGTCTAGATGGATGCTTTCGATGCTATTGTGTCTACTCACCTGGAAAGTAAATAATGAGTGGTCTCGGAGATGACAAGCATAGAATTTATGTTTAAACCACTGAAGTCATACCGATATGCTCATAATTTCCATTGTGAATAATTAAGAGTTGCTAAACTTTAACACCTACTTTCACAATGCAGCCAATGGATCCTGACGATACTTCTGAGACAGTAATGGTTGAACTCCAACAGTTGCTCATAATTATGAGGTAAAAAATGTCGGATATTACAAACATATAACAAAACTATTGCCCAACTTAGGTAGTATTGGGACTAAAGGTTACCCACATTATATTATTAGTGAATATACAATAACGTTGTAAACTAAGGCGAAAACTAAAAACACACAGTCAAAATAAAATGATACATACCTTGCCACATGCACGACAATGATGTCGTCGATTAAGTGTAGTAAATTCTGTACAACAATTTGTACACATTGTAGATGATTCATCTTTAACCCATTGAGCTGCAACTTCACCTAAGTTATTTGCACTCATTATTGACTTCTAATGTTTAAAAACGAATTTCGAAAGATTAAATGGAAAATAGTGAGATTCCTCCACATCGATATGTATAAAGATGTTTTTAAGGCTAATGAACAGAAATACACTGTAGGATTTAATTAGCCTACAGATTAATTTCTTGAATAAGTCCGTATACTGTCACACAGAGAGTCATAGCAGTGCTATGATCAAAAAAGGTAACTATGTATATAGCTAAGAATTATGATCTGTTTTTAAAATGTGACTTAGTACATTTAGTACAAAACTCCCCGACCATTGCTGATACCTTGACGTAGTGGTCGGGCTTGCCTATCGTGATGAACCAATCGAGCTATACTGGCTGGAATAATCGTTCATCAAGGTCCTACCATGTCAGACAGTTCTGTTGAAGAGCGGTAAGACTAAAAGCAGCAAACCCAAGGTTCGAAGGCGAAGTCGTACTGCTGATTGTACAGAGGTTTGACGGCAATAGGGTGTTTCCTTCAGACAACCAGCATAACAGCGATGCTGCCTTCCCACTTATCGAAGAAATCTTGAGGTTCGACGGTACACTTGTAAATTACTGGAATTTCATAAGTTTTGAGTGAATCGATAATGAAAATATTGGATTTAGACAGAAGTCAAATCATCTTATCAAATATTGTGATGACGAAGCTAAGGCAGCTATAGCACACTGTGCCTTACTGGAGTCGGATGCTAGCTACCATAAAGCCGAGGAATCCGGTCAAGAACAAATTGTAGCCAGGATGTTTATCGAAAAGTTATTAAACTTTCCTAGAATTAAGGGAAATTATTCAGACACATTGACGCAGTTGTCTCGAGAGATGATGGTGTGTGAGTTAACTCTAAAGCAGATGAATTACATTTCAGATCAGAATACGTCGGGGACCATAGAAGACATAATTTTGAAATTGCCGTGTAGTAAATGAAAACGCGATGGGGAGAACCAAATTATTGTCATATGTGAAATCAACTAGTAGCTTTGTAAATTGTGAAAATCATACATTAAATACATCATTCGCATATCTTCCATCACTTGCCCTTTACATAATTCATCATTCTTTCGATCCCGTTTTTATACCGTTCGCTCTTCATTTTCTTTTCTTCTCTTTTTATTTCACTCTTTTGCTAGTGAGCATTCTACTTCCGATTCCTGATACATACTACTTATGGCTGTCCGCATAAGTAGTTCACACTACACCCGGTACAGACACAAAGTGAGTGAGCAACAGTGGCCTGTGGGATTATTAAAAGCGGCCGAAAGCCCACGTTTAGTGATCCTACAAAGTTTGTAAAGGAACACTACGATATAGCTAATACTGGATATAGGTTACTTGCTAGCCGAAGTGACAATAGTGATAATAGCTATGCCAGTGTTGTAAGAAGGAAACTTAATGAAGGTTACAATATACAAGGATATCTTATGCAAGTACTAGTGACGATAATGTTGCCTTATATCACGGATATAGTTACTGTAATTTATCTTCTATGGTGTGCTTAGGAAATCATTCTCTAGATCAGTGCCAGAAGCTTAGGGATAAGGGTGTTAGAGAAAGAAAATAATTTGCACTTTGTTTAAAGGAGAATCATCTAGCAAACACTTTTTGGTCGCTAAGAGCATGTTCGATCAAAAGTTGCTGATGACGGCACCATATGGACACAACACAACTGTGAAGCAGAAAACCGAGACAGAAATAATTATCTAGATGGTACGAAATTTATGTTTACTCGAAGAATCAAGTGGTCCGACAGTGAAGAATACCGACAAAGGACGCGGTGGTCGTTTTGATAAGAGTGTTAACTTCCGTCAATCAGAGTGAATCAACCATTGATATTTGAGTTAGACGCCAACCACTCAAGACTCATCTAATCCCAGGCTGGTTATTACTCTGAACCTTTGTTATTGATTCATTTTGTTGTGTTCCTGCTACCGTTTGGTATATGTGTGTTTATTGTTCTCTTAGTAATCGACTTTACTATTTTGAGTTTTGTGCTAAATGTATTAAGTTACATTTTCGAAACAGATGATAAATCTTAGCTATATACATAGTTACCTGTTTTGATTATTCATATATATAGTGATGAGGAAATAAGTAAGAGATTAGTGAAATAGAGTGATTTATAGTAGGATGATCATGCTTTTCAATGCAATGATTTAGTTTGGCCAACCTTGGTCTTTTACAACTCATTTGTACTCCACTTAACATTGCATATCGAGGTAGAGGGGGGGGGTTGGAGGTAAATAACAGACGTCCCAATCATTTCAGACTAGCGATCTTACTAACCTGGTTGCCATGTTTAAATATTAAGCGATCTCTAAAGCTGGCGTTCCGTACTCCGTCATTCTTCGATATGGTAGTAATGCTTCGAAAACATCTACGCATGTTACCCCTCTTGAAGAAGCATAGAATGCCCACCAGCATTCTCCATTCAACTCTGTCCTGAGCAATCCCTTTCAGTTGATTCCGATTGCTATTCATTCTTTTGATGTCTGCTTCCAATAGTGCTGGCCTATTCAAGAGTTCTCCAAAGTGTAAACACTCTTTATCTTTCCTTAAACTTTGAGATTAAAATGGCTTCATATCTGTCTTTCTTCCTGTACTATATCCTTATATACAACCTTTCCTTTATATATTACCACCAATAAATTAACTACTTCTTTGAATTCGATGTTCATCTTGTTGTGCTAACGAGGTATGGCAAATTGGACCGATGCATATATGTGCCTGGTCCTACGTTGTAGCTAACTGGCTGAAAGTGTTCTACCCATTTGTTCCTCTGTTTTTGAATCTCGATGATTAGCCCAGAACCCCCTGACAAGTTAACCTTAGTGCTTCTTTCATTCCTTCTCAATTATCCTCCATCATAGTTTCTTCTTCCTCCTGTAAATCTTGTAAGACTTGAAACATGTTGTTGAGAGTTATCTTCAATTCTTTGAGTTTGTTGGTATCTCGAAGGAAGGCTTCATTGAACCTTTGTAATGCTGTTCCCCCAGTTGTCCAGTGCTCCTCTAGCTTCAGTTTCATCTTGGTCACAACCAGCTAGTGTTGATCTCAAGCTATGTCAGCTCCTTTACTGGTTATCATGTCTTCCATTGACCTTCGAAATTTCTTATTCATACAAGTGCGATCCATCGGGTTCTCCGTCGCATGATCCGCTGAGACTCATGTAGCTTTGTATACGCGTTTCTGTGAGAATAGTGTGACACCTATAACCATTCTGTTGAATGTGCACAAATAGGCAAATCTCTAATCACTTTCATGCCTTTCTCTTAGTCAGTTCATGTCAACACATGATATCTTCACACCCAGTGTTTTTTATTCCGACTTTGGAGTCGGGGTCTCCTATCAGGATGGTCACGTTCTTTCCTCTGCACTTCGCTATGACTGACTGCAGCCTGTCGTGAAAAACTGATCCTTATTGTAGTCATTGCTATCATTGATGGGTGCATAACATTGGATAATATCAATTGTGACTACCTTCTTCTTTGTCTTAAAAGATGCTCTGATGATCCTCGATCCATGCGATTCCAATCCTATAATTGCATTTCGACCTTCTTCGGACAGCATCAGAACAACTCCCTGATTGTGTGAACCATTTTCCCTTTCATGAACACAGTACAGAAGCATCTCTCCTCAATCTATCCTCTCTCGTCCAGATTGGATTCAATCGGTTTCATTCATTTCGAGCACTAAAAACTTGTATCTCCTCATCTACGTGGTTATTTGAATGATCCTCCTGGTCTCCCACATTCTCACAACATTCCATGTACTTATATTAATTGTTTCTGTGGTTGTTGAATCAGGCATCGACCTTGTGGCTTTCGAAGAATCTCGGCTCTCACCATCAGGTGTCATAATTCTTCTTAAAGAAGGTCCTTCAACTCAGCAGACAGAGTTTAAATTGTTAAATCTGGTTGGCGTTTTTTAGCAAGGTTGTTTTCTACAGGATGGAGTTGCCGATTCCACACCCAACCCTTGTCCGGTCTTGTGATTGGAAGTACCTCAAGATGAACTATAGGCGGAGTTCCAGTGATTTCAAGGATAAGATAAATGCTCCATTGATGGTGACCGCGTATAATGTCGAGAATCGACTAAAATTGGAAAAGCCGACTACTATTCGGTTCCACTTTAGTGGTCTAAAAGCGTCGTGTTTGTAACGAGATATGAAGACCCTAGTTTCAACTACCACCAGTAAGGAATGAATCATGAGTACATACTACCAAGAAGTTTCAAATATATATATAGCTTGTCAAAGTTGATTCAGAAGACTTATTATGCATTGGCATATACTAATGCTAATATGTCCTAATAGGTTTCAAAGTCTGTCATAACACTTAAAATGTTTTAATATGATCATAACCACCACAACAACTTATTAAATTGGTCTTATTTATTGCCATCATCTGATGTGGAACCCACAATTATATTGTAATTATATCACACTAATTGTAGGATGATAGATATCATTACAGTATAGGAAGAAGAGTAGTTGTCATTACTTAAAAGTAACTAATATTAATAGCATACAAATAATAATCAACTTACTTTTTCATTGAAACCATTACTATTCGGTTTGTTACATTCACAATCAATAGCCTGTTGAAGTTCACGCCACCAAAGTTGTTTTTCATCATCATTTCTTGAATTAAATTAAACGGTAATTGAATAGAAAAGATCAAAAGACAAAGGATTAGACATCTTTATGGATGCAACTATTAGGTGCTTATCACATATCTGGACGCTTTATTTTCTAAAACAAATTAAGTTAGGTTTGAACCTTGTTCTAACTGTCAAAGTTGTATGAATCAACCACAGTAAGCATTACTTATGTATTCATTTTGTGGTTGTATAGAATGGGAGGCTGTTATTTTGCCACGATGCTTCGGTTGGGGTCTTAGAGATCATGCAACTTAATGGCTTGCAACGTTATCAAACATGATTCAGAATAGAAACCAGTTGTGTTACTGATGTAGTATTCTATTGTAGTTTCCATAAATGTGAGATGAATCTTCCTAAATGAGAGGAATTCATTCAAATTGTAGTTTTATTGGACTGTATTTTTCTTATCAGATACTACTCTTGTTCGTTTATTCGTTGATTTGATAAGCTTTTCGACTTTTAGTTCAATTTGAAACGATTTAGATTGTTGTAAAGTTTTGTTCTCTGAGCTGGATGGTTTGGTCGTGGAGCTTTCGTCGTTATTCTAGATATCATCAGCATAAACATCTACCTGAAGTTTGCGCTGAGGATGTCGTTCAGAATAATGATGAAAGCTCCACGACCGAACCATCCAGCTCAGAGAACAAAACTTCATAAAAATCATCCGCTTGAACTACAACTCTTCTCGACCATGTCAAGATGTAGATTGTACCGTTGTTCATATTGACTGAAATTTGTTCGGTCTTACTTGGCACACGTGCATCCTGTGCGAATTGCCTCGATATAATCATCGTTTCACAAGCTTATATACGATAAATGAACTGTGGCCGATAGTCAAATCAAGGAAAAGTATTTTGTCCTATTTGGGGACTCGTCAGCTCGATATACCTGCATCCGAGTTTATGTTCGTTCCAGTTTTCAAACCCAGCACCTTTCACTTCAAATGTCATAACGTTATCTACTTAGCTACTAAGTTGAGATAGCCACTCACTCTTATAACGGGTATGAGTTTTAATTCAATTTAAAGTGATTTGATTTATCCCGTTGTTGATATTTTGACTCGAATTTGATCAGTCTTAGTTTGAAAAGGAAAGTACTGGGTTCAAATCTCGTAATGAACATCAACTCTGGGATGGAGGTGTATCCGCCTGATGAACCCCAAAATATGACGAAACGGTCCTCCTAGATTAGACTGATAGCCATAGTCCATCTATTTTGTATTTCCCACTTTTATTTCGAAATACTATCATCCTCTTTTCTGTGGTTCATTCTTTTTATGACCTACTGTATCAATTTTTTGTGTTTTACACCAATGATGAGATGATTGCAGAACGGTATCACAGACAGACATCTCTTTTTACTTCGGTTGGTCTTAAGCACTTCCAATATAAGTTTCTCCAGTTTAATGAGTGGAAACTTTTCAATACTTGATTCTCAAGTAAAAAAAAAATCATAATGTAAAAATGTATTTAGCATTTATTTACAAATAAACAATGGATATAGTCTTATATATGGTCAAATGTTGTTCAAAAGAAACCTGACAAACAAATAGAGGTATTTAACATACGCTTCATTTACTGTAATATGATTATTCACATTTGATGACTTATCGAATTCCCAATGCCAGCGTGTTCAGTTGACTGCAGTAGAACTAAGGGTAAGAGGTAGTGTTTGAACTAGCACAAATCCAAATATCACTGACTTTCTACTAGTTTAAGGCAAATGAAGTTAAATGTCACTTGTTAGGGAAGATTTTCATAATGATAGAGAGGTTGCTGTTTTCTTCTCGGGTTCTATTTATTATTTATTTATTTGAACACATAAATATTGGTACAAGGAAGCACCAGATAAATATGCGCCTCACAAATATCATTCGATTTGTGTGAGGGCTGTGATACTGCCCAGGTGCCCAAACTGAAGCAGGTGGTTTTCTTACGAAACCACACCCCGAGCCTTTCACCTAAAGGTCTAGTCCACAAGGCAGTGGAGCATCGTAAGGAGATGCAGTCCCATGGTAGCCGGTGACCAACGATTGATTCATATGCCATTTGTTCCCTCAGGATACTGGAGCTTATGTGCACCATTGGTTTATAATCAGGGTTTTCCAACTCCCCTAGGTGGATCCTCCACATCCACCAACCCGGTTAGAGCGCCGGACATTCGCTTTTCGTCCTCTCACTTTTGCGAACAACACCCCCACCACGAGAAGGCAGTGAATAGGACTTCCCTGGCAGAGGCTATATATTCGCGTGGCCATATGAGAGCATTTGGAGAGGGAGAGCGGACTCTCCCCACTCTCGGCCGTACCACAGCATTTGGGGGCTCGGGTTCTATATCATATTGAGAATTACTAAACATATGTTCACAATCAAACGATTGACCAACTTCAGACTATGGTACAATTAAGTAAAACAAAATATCAGCACACGTCAATTATTTATCGTTTATTGATTTCTTCAATGTTTAGATCATTATACTTTGTGGAGATACACATATGTATGTAATAATGAAATGAAAGTGCAGTCATGGTTTTAAGGTTATTGATTTTATTCAAATTGGAAGATTTCTATGAAGGAATAGTAAAAGGCAAGATCTAGAGGATGATGAAGGATAAATATATATATGAGCAATTATGGACGACTTTAGGTCATGTTACTTAACGTCTCTACCTACTGATTGCCTCTAACACACAGAACTTAACCAAGTAGTTGGTATATGTCAGCATGGCTAAGACTCACAGACAATTCGTTCATAGATTGATGCTTAGTTTTAGTTTGGCCTTATTTAACTAGTCCTTACATAAACAATCTGGATCGAACCCGAATAAGCAAATCATGTCCTTGGTAGTAGCTAAGTTACATTCAGATGAGGGGATTTTAATTTAGTTCTTTTAGAATATACACGATAAGTAAGCAGTTCTAGAAATTAAGTAATAAAAGTTTAGCGTTTTATTTTTTCGGTTAGTAGTTGTTGTAAGATGGTTAAATGTTATCAAAAAATTTAACGACGTATTCATTAATCCAAATGACTTAATAACAAACACTGCAAGATACTTATTGACGGAAATTGGAAGATTTCTGCAAACTAGAAAATAACCCTTTTATAATCTATTCTATCAAGTCAGTCAGCAGTGAACTACGCAGCTAATACAGTTTACTGTTGAATGTATAGTGTACAATGATAGTGAGAATTTCAAATGTTACATTCAACAATCACAAGATGTTTTACTTTAGACATATGGTACAGACAATATTTTTAATAATTATCTACGAAGGTGTAAATAAGAATAATTAGCAAATCTATCATACATCAAAATGATACAGTCATATTGGGCACGAGAAAGATAACATCGATAGCAATGAACAGTAGCCACGTAATATTAAATATTGACTGAAGCTGCAAATCTAAAAGATTAAGTGGCAACACAGTGGTCTGAAGATAAAAATCTACTCAGAAGGTTAAAATATCTCACATTCGATCTCTGAGACTAAACGGATCTTTTAGTGTTTCTTAACCTCTAACGGCTGTCTAACCATATATGGTTCGTAATGTAAACTATGACATTCAATAATCTCCAAAGTCCACCTATACTAAAATCAAATTTAAAAAACGGAGTTAAAAACTGATACATATTGAAATATACTAAAAACTAGTTAAACTTTCAGCTAATTTTTGCATGGTACCAGGTAAAGGTGTGAATTGGCTGATCAGATTGCATTTCTTCACCGGAAGTGATAGTAAAAATATGTACTACGTATGTGTAAACACTGCCCACAAAGATGTACCATGTTTCCCGGCGCTGGAGAGAGAGAGCTAGAGGAGGCCAAACGAAGACATGGGGTCAGTTCATGAAGTTATTAACTATTGATTTGGGTCATGTTGGTAGTTTTCAGCTATGTAGTTAAGGATCGAGCAATTATCATGGTTAATAGTTGGGTACGCTGTCAGGCATATCTCAGAATAGGTCACTGTGGAACAGATGCATTCACTCTTTAGATACTGAGTTTTTAAATTACTCCATACCTTTCAATCCTTGAATCTAATTTGTCGAATGATATTCGCCATGCCTGATCCTTCCTACTACCACTAATACTTTTGCTACTTCTATTAAACTGACATTTGATTTGATATTTCCATCTTATGACTGATTAAATTGAAATGAATGATTTTATGATTTTTTTTAAAAACAAAGTTTACTTACGAGAAAGCAACCTCGACGCATAGCTCTTTCGCTTTAATTCTAAAACAATGTTCAACATTGATTTCTTCATCATCTTTCACTTCACATAACTGGATTGATAGAGAAAATGGGGATAATTTTAAAGGTGAAACATGTGCTATTTGTATAAAGTCGGATATAAAGTGAAATGATCATTATGAAGTTTTTAATCTCCTCAAGATAAAACTGAGTGGTAAAGTATTCATTTTTGTCCAAAAAAAGACAGAAGATTCAATAATTATTAAGAGTTACGGGATTATATATATTATATCATTCACCTCATTATTGATATTCACCGGATGAAAGTGTTAGTAAATGTTAAAAAAAGAAACTAGTTTACTGTTATGTTGGATTTAATGCCTTCGGTTCTCGAATACTGATAATATTCAATGATTTTTACTCAAGACTGGGTATACAATAAAAAAACGTAAATAATTGTTACATAATAGATGGAGCATGAACGTCGATGAGTCCAAAGTTTATCATGCCAACGTAGTTTCGATCTGACAGATTATGAATCCAGATAGATTAAATATTCATATCACAAACTTATAGTCAATGAATACACTCTAATACAAGTATGAAATAATAAATCTTTCAGTAAAATGATTAATCTTAAATGCTAATAAGGAGAACGTTGTACGTCGCAATTGTTCTGATTTATAGATAAGGGAAATTGGATTAAAAAAACTAGTGTAATTGAAGAAAATGCGTCGGAAACATCGAGTTTACAATATATTTGCAAACCACGTTCTTGCTTTCGTTAAATCTTGCTATGTTTTATAAGATACATCATCGTTGATCTAGTTTGATCTGGAAGACCGGGTAATATCGGTATCCCTAAAACTGAAATTTTTACAGTAAACTACATTTGGTAAATTAGTTACACGAATTTCACCATTAAATTAGTGCCATATTTGTTGTGAATGATAATTTTGATTACCAGGGAGGAGTTTGTGAATGGTGTTTCTTCTGGATATAGTTTATAACACGGCTTTAAAGCTAAATATTACCAAAAAGTGTAGGTTAGTTTACTAATTCAGTGCAGGAACTATGTTACTGATTTAGATAGACTTAAGTGTATGAATCATGTCTGAATCTACAGATATTTAATTAGGAACGCTTATGAACGTTAGAAAAGATTATCCTAAATCAAATTTATGACGTCTTTCGAAAAGACATACAGAAGCTTAAGATAGAGGACAACAACAATGCAAAAACATCAGAATGCAACGAACCCCATTAAACAGTTTAGGTGTACACATAAATTATAAGAAAACTTACTGTCATTCCAGCCAAACCTATCTCTGACTTAACTTGATAACGACCAACAGCATTAGGGGATTCAGTCATGACCAAATATTCGGAAAACTGAAAATAGGGAGATAACTTGAAGTTTGCATGTTTTACTAAAGCAAAAACACAAACTGTAAGCGGTATGCTGGAAAAAATACACCTAAATATAACCAAGTTACGTTATACCTTGTGATATGAGTCACAATCCAAAGAGAAATAGTTTTCGTTATGAACATCTGAAAACTTCAGAAGTATTGTCAACCTGCTAAACATTTTAGTACGGAAATTCTACACTAAACCGTAAAAAGGTTTATTGACCGAAGTATTTTTGATTTATTGTTCACCATTTGACTTGTGATCTGGATCATGAGTAGTGTGAAAACAAATACATGGCTTCATCAGGTTTCTACACTGTTCAGGCATATTTTTAAATGCTAGGGTAGTGTAAATATGCTGATATAATCATTGCTAAAGATGAAGAGTTCGTAACATTTTTGAATCACTTGTTGCCCTCGTCTATCTTTATACTGGTGGACTGAATTACAAATTTGATGCATTTGTGACCCTTTATTCAATGAATTGTTGAGTATAACTAATTAATATCCTACTAGTGTGGATGCTGGAGTTTCCTATTTGGCACAGAAAATATTTGACACAAATGTGCTGCCTAAAACGAAACGAAAATGAGAATATAAAATAATTCCATAAAACGTAGTGCCTATAAGAATCCCATTTATCAACGATGTTCAAGTTGATGAACGATGTTCTTGGGCATATTGAATACAAAAAGGTTCATTTTATTCCAACGGTTACTACACACTAATGGGTTCATTTGGTGAACAAATAACTGATACTGTTGTGGAAAATAATTGAGCAATGAGGTGGACCATGAATGTGTCAAACTAAGTACGAAGAAACAATGAAAGAGTTATAAACACTTATTTTCCGCGAACCTCAGACAATATATATAAATTAGCAATTTAACCATATGACAGAAAGAATATCTTACAAGAAATAAATATCTATCCAAAAGTCGTCTATGTATTGAACGTCTAGGCAGTTTCTTTGCAGGCCCTTCTAGATGTAGTAACGGAATCTGAGTATACTTTACACGAAGACCATCCAGTTTACCAAGTGCTTCTCTAGCATTCGACATTTTCTCCTTAAAAAAAGGACAAACGGAACTTTAGTAAAATCGATTGAAACTAAACAAGTAACCAGTAAATTAAAATATGAAATAAACGCTAAACATTTAGACAGGTTGAAATAGTTAACATGCAGCGTGACGTTTTATGCCCACTATATGTACTAAATTATCTACTACGTTAAGTAGATGCAATTACTTGACAAATAACACTACTAAATACTTTAAGAAATTAAACCAAATCTAAAAATGACTTCATACTGATGCATGCTATGACAATTATTTTAAGGTTGCGAAAACTAGTTTTATGGCTAAAAGACAGAAGAGAAATTTAAAAATAATTGCAACTAATCATTTACATGGATACATTCGGCCATAATCAATTATTTTTATTTTATTTTGTCTACTTTAAATGTTTTCTGATTTTTATCTACCGTAGTTACATTCACGAATAATTAGCTTTTTAAAGTTATGCTATATGCAAAAACATTTGTCATGGTACACTAACCTGTAAAATAATTTCTTGTTCCGAACGATCCAACAAATCCTTGATGAAATTCCAAGCCTCTAAATTACAGTAAAAACGGGCTTTATATTATTGATGAACTCACTTGTGACATTTGTATACTCTGGGTCGCTCGGAAGCATGGTTCCTTTAAGCCCTAACTCAAATTATCAGAAATGTTCTTTAACAATTGAAGCTTACTATATATGAGATCTTTGTATCGTGGTAACGCTGTGCTGACACCATAGAACATCCCAGGTACATTCTGAATACGTTGCTCTTGATATTGAGACTTTGCCTAGAATGTTATATAAAAGATGAAAAACTTAATGAACGAACAAGTTAGTTAGGTATTATTTACGAACATAAACCACCTGATGTTAGATGTGAAAATCGTATTTCAATAATCTGAGCGATTGAAACTTGAATGATTCCACTGTTTCGTACGGCAATTGCCGAGAGCATTCAAGAACAATTCTTGCATTTAATGTTTCCTATATAATTGCCGCTCAATTTTTCCCGAACTATTTGTTCGAATTTTGATGTATATTCATGTAAACTATGTGACATCAAATTTTTGTTAAGTTAATATAACATGCAACAACGTATACAGTTTGCTTTACAATTTTAACTTGATGTCCATTATATTGACAAGTGGATTAGTGGATAAGTTACTTAAATTTCATTCATGAAGTCGATGACTGAAACAACAAACAGTCGAATACCACCACTAGTTCCCACGCAAAGTGTAGCACGAATTTGCGTACAAGAGCTTATACTTACACATTGTCGCAAAAAGAATTGTGAATTACTTGCAGGTTGAAGTGAAAAATATGACCCAATTATGTAGACTGAAATTAGGAAAGATTCCTGGACAATAGTCCAGAATTTCGGGGTTAGATTTCCAAAATGATGTTTAAAAAGGGTTTTAAACTAAGGCTCAACTTAAGCATTTCAATAGTAAAACATAGTGAAAGATTGAAGAAAATGTGATTAACTAAGAGACTGATTATCATGTTGATCACATTTTTTTCTCTTGATCTAGATGAGAAAAAGCAGTCAACATAATAATATTGATGACAATGGAAAACTAAGCACAGAAGGCATATCATGCAACCATAACAAATAAGTTTTGGGTGGTGATACAACGCATTTTTCAATAGCCAAGCTTCAAAATATTCACGACTGAGTACTTGCAGCACATCTTTTCCGACGATTTTAAGTCAATATATGAGCCAATGAGATACGAATTCTACATTTTAAACACCAAAAGATTTAGTTCACTTGACTTACAACGATACCTTTACATATATTTTGAAGCTCTTCATTCGTCGAGTACATTTCCGAGAAAGCCTTGAAATTCACTGCATAGCGACATAAGAAGCTCTTGTATATATTTAAGATTTGCATCTCCTTGTCATTGGTGAAAGCTGAGGGCAATTCTATGTCTTCGGCTTCACGAGAATCGAAACTTTCAGTCAAATGTTCATGGAGTTTAAACAACGACGGTATATCCTTGAACATTCCATTAATTACGCTGTTACATCTCAATGACGAAACATTTTGTACCTCATCATTGACATCCTGTAATTTTCGAATGAGTAAACCATACAGTTAGCTAACCTTCAAAATTCTGATGATCTCTAGAAGTCTTTTTCCATATTGGAGCATTTCATCAAATACGGACCTGGCTATCTTCCTCTTCTTCTCTATTGAGTCCAAGTCCTTTTGTGCAGCAGATAACAACCCTTTATTGGATGTGCTTAACTTTTCTTTGAGTGTTTCATTCAGAAGATTTTTGATTTTATTGCGCTGGAAATCTAGTGCGTCAAGCAATATTGAACTCTTTGTAACAGATTCCCCAAAGACATTCTTACGTCCACAAACTTCAGATCCTGGTGTTTTATTTACAAGATCACACAAATAATCTGGATGTAGGATATCTAACTTGATTAACGCATGCACACAACCGCCCGACATCAAAAAAATTGGCAGTCAAAAACCCACCGCCTAAGGTCATAGCAACTTTTGAACGACTTAAAGAATATAAAATTAAGCCTTGTCGTACAGTAACGATCTACCACTTACTCTTTTAACCTAAATTCAATTCAAAAGGTTATGGGTCTTTTATCAATCAAATAAGTAAGAATAACACAAAATAATATCAGTCCTCAAAAGTAAGGATATTAGGTCGTAATCGTGTGTTGTTCATCACAATATGTATATAAATAGCGAATCTCGTTTTAAGTGTATCATCAGAAGGCATTGCTACTACGTACTTTTTTTCAGAATTCCAAAGGTTTCCAAACCTATATGATGCCGATGGCTCTTATCTCGGTTTTCAAATATTCTCCGAATCTCCTCTAGGATTATCAGTTTCAAATTTTTTTTATAAGTAAGACATATGAAAACTAAATTCTTCATTCAGTAAACGATAGATCATTATCATATTACCGTGAGAAAAGGGAGAGAGGTCAATGTGTTTCAATTTATCTCCATAAAACGTGTAGGAAAGTAAATTCATCATTTTGCCTCTCACCTTCCGGCCATTTCAAGCAAGTCCATCCCATATTTCTCATTTCGCTGTCTGAAGCTCATATTCTATGTGCGGTCCCTTATATGTCAGTATAATGTATTGGACATTTTTTCACTCAGGTCACGAAGTGATTTACAAACGGCCTCGGAAGCCCTTGACAGAGTCAGCTTTACAGCCACACATAGCTCCGACGTCATAACTAATTATGAATCTCAACTCTAAAATCAGTAGCTTTAGGTGAAGTTTTTCATTTTTTGTGAAGTCATGTGGGCGTTGCAGATGATTGATTTCGATTTCTACACTTTTGCTAAAATTTTAATCTAATGACCACTGATTTGTTCACTTTATTTACTTACTTACTTACTTTCGCCTGTTACTCCCAATGGAGCATAGGCCGCCGACCAGCTTTCTCCAACCCACTCTGTCCTGGGCCTTCTTTTCTAGTTCTTTCCAGTTCTTGTTCATTCTTCTCATGTCTGTCTCTATTTCTCGGCGTAATGTGTTCTTTGGTCTAACTCTTCTCCTTCGACCTTCAGGATTCCATGTGAGGGCTTGTCTTGTGACACAATTGGGTGATTTCCTCAAAGTGTGCCCAATCCACTTCCAGCGCTTCTTCCTGATTTCTTCCTCCACTGGATGGAATCTGGTTTGTTGTCTCCCACAGTAACTTGTTGCTGATAGTGTCTGGCCATCTGATCCGAAGTATCTTGCGTAGACAGCTGTTAATAAACACTTGTATCTTCTGGATAATGGCTTTCGTAGTTCTCCACGTCTCTGCCCCATACAGAAGAACTGTCTTGACATTTGTATTGAAAATTCTAACCTTGGTGTTGGTTGACAATTGTTTTGAGCTCCAGATGTTCTTCAGTTGTAAATATGCTGCTCTTGCTTTGCCGATCCGCGCCCTCACATCTGCATCTGATCCACCGTGTTCATCAATGATGCTGCCCAGATATGTAAAGGTTTCCACATCCTCCAAAGCTTCTCCATCAAGTGTAATTTGATTGGTGCATATTGTGTTGTATCGGAGAGTCTTGCTTTTCCCTTTGTTTATATTGAGACCTACTGCTGCTGAGGCTGCTGCTACACTGGTCGTTTTCTCCTGCATTTGTTGTTGCGTTTGTGATAGAAGAGCCAGATCATCTGCGAAGTCTAAATCGTCAAGCTGCATCCTGCCTGTCCACTGTATCCCGTGCATTCCTCCAGATGTTGACGTCTTCATAATCCAGTCGATCACCAGGAGAAAGAGAAAGGGTGAGAGTAGGCAACCTTGCCCAACACCGGTCTTTACCTCGAACGAGTCGGTGAGTTGTCCTCCGTGGACGATTTGGCAGTTTAGTCCATCATAGGAGTTCCGTATGATATTGACTATCTTCTCAGGCACGCCGTAGTGTCGAAGAAGCCTCCATAGTGTCGTCCTGTCCACGCTATCAAATGCCTTCTCGTAGTCGATGAAGTTGATGTAGAGTGATGAATTCCATTCGATTGATTGTTCCACAATGATCCGCAGAGTTGCGATTTGATCTGTGCACGATCTATCCTTACGAAATCCAGCTTGTTGATCTCGAAGTTGGGCGTCCACGGAATCCTTCATCCTGTTTAACAATACTCGGTTGAAGACTTTTCCTGGTATTGAGAGAAGAGTGATGCCCCTGTAGTTGTCGCATTTGCTCAGATCACCTTTCTTTGGTATCTTGATGAGAAGTCCTTCTTTCCAGTCTGTTGGTACTTGTTCTTCGTCCCAAATCTTACTGAAGAGGATGTGGAGTATCTTGGCAGTTGCTGCTACATTTGCTTTCAGTGCCTCTGCCGGGATGTTGTCTGGTCCTGCTGCTTTGCCGCTCTTGATTTGTCTAATGGCCATGCTGATCTCTTCAATTGTTGGTGGGCCAATATCGATTGGGAGGTCTGTGGGTGCTGCTTCGATGTTGGGTGGGTTCAGTGGAGCTGGTCGATTCAAGAGTTCCTTGAAGTGTTCTACCCACCTGTTTCGTTGTTCTTCAATATCGTTGATTACTTTGCCTTCCTTGTTTTTCACTGGTCTTTCTGGTTGACGGTAATTTCCAGCAAGATTCTTTGTTGTATCATACAGTTGTCTCATGTTTCCCTCTCTTGCAGCCTTTTCCGCTGTCATCGCTAAATCTTCCACATATTTACGTCGGTCGGTCCTGATGCTCCTCTTCACTTGCTTGTTTGCCTCTGTGTATTCGGCTTGTGCCTTGGCTTTTTCCGCTCTTGTTCGGCTGATATTGATTGCTACCTTCTTGTTCCTCCTTGCTTCAATTTTATCCAGTGTACCAACAGTGATCCATTCCTTGTGATGGTGCTTCTTTTGGCCCAGAACCTCCTGACATGTTGAAACGATTGCCTCCTTGATACCTTTGTTCACTTAGTCGAATCATTAAAATCTTTCTGTACTCTTAACCTATCACTCACACTGTGTTGGGGTTATGAGCATTAGCAGACCGTTGACAAAAACTAGAAAACTCTTTGCCTTTTAATACATGACCTTTTAATACAGAGACCTTATCGAAGACTTATGCCAGGCCTACGAAGATTACGTTCACTATAATATTTCTATATCTTGCTCCAATCTACCTTTCCCTTGCAATGAGGAGATTATTTATAAATCAAAGACACACTCCTTATCCATGTTATTAGCTCGCCTAAAGATCATTCATTTCTGTAAGATGTAAAGTAGTCGTCGAATAGCCGTCATGTCACTAGTCTACCAAGTTCTAAAGATAAATCCAGGGTTATCTTCCGACGAGCAACTCTTAATAGTTGCCTCATTATGCCTTAAAGTTACTTACTTACTTACTTACTTACTTACTTACGTCTGTTACCACTCGTCGAGGAGCATAGGCCACTCACCAACATTCTCCATCCAACTCTGTCCTGAGCCTTCCTTTCCAGTTCTTTCCAGTTGTTATTCATCCTTTTCATATCTGTTTCTATTTCCCTATATAATGTGTTCTTTGGACTTACTCTTTTCCTCTCCCCTTCCGGATTCCAAGTTAAGGGGTTGCCTTGTAATGCAGATTGATGATTTCCTTAATGTATGTCCTATCCACTTCCAACGTCTTTTCCAAATTTCCTCTTCACTTGGAAGCTTGTTTGTCCTCTCCCAAAGTAGGCTGTTGCTGATAGTATCCGGACAGTGAATGTTGAGTATTTTGCGTAGACAACTGTTTGTAAATACTCGTACTATCTTAATGATGGATGTAGTAGTTCTCCACGTTTCAACTCCATACAGTAGAACAGACTGTCTTGACGTTCGTATTGAAGATTCTGACTTTGAAATTAGTTGAGAGTTGTTTTGAATTCCATATGTTCTTCAATTGTAGAAATACTGCCCTTGCTTTGCCAATCCTCGCCTTTACATCTGCATCCGATCCTTCTTGTTTATCATTGATGCTTCCCAGATACGTGAATGTTTCCACCTCTTCCAGAGTTCCGTTATCAAGTGTGATTGGGTTTGTGTTCTCCGTGTTGTATTTGAGAATCTTGCTCTTTCCTTTGTGAATGTGGAGATGCCTTAAAGTTCAGGATCCATTATTACTATTATATACCCTGAGTTTCTTCAGAAATGAAATTGTACACTAGCTACAATGTTGTCTACACAATAGTTGCTATATTTAAGCTGGTCCCGTAGTACATAGGAGAACAATGAGTCGACTTTGAAGAGAAAAGGAAGAACGAAAAGTGAAAGGTACGTATATTTTAATAATTATGTTTGTCAAATATTAAGGATAGACTATAATTTATGTCTTTCAGAATGAATGAAAAGCGAATCATTAATATATCAAGACTCAATGACAGAATGAGAGTTTATGCAGTAAAAGAGTAGAATGATGTGATGAAATTATCATTTAACTGGAAAGAATAATCATCAAACACCAAGCCATGACCAATGAAGCTCACTCGTTTCAATTGTAAGGCAGTTACTCACTGAAGACAATGGTTGACAGTGGCGCGATATTGTGAATTGGTTGAGGCTAGACATTAACAGTGTTGGATGCGGACTCAATGGTCTAAGTGTTAAGCGTCTGTGCGCTGGAAACAGAAGGTCCTGGGTTCGAATCGCGAGTGCCGGTTTGTGGATGTGCACTGCAGAAGGGTTCCATACTAGAACGAAACGGTCATCCTGTGCTTTCAGGTTTTCCATGTTGTTCTGGCTTTAATGGGTTCTTGAACTTAACTAATAAAGAACCAATTTGTTTGAGTCATATACACATAGTGATGATAAAGTGAATCTTAAAAGTCAATTCATTTAATTTTAATACATATATTGTGCTTTTACTTACGAACCGTAGATGGATAAGGATAAACTTCATGTAGGAAGAATAGAGAACGAAATAGTATTTACTGTGTCAGGGGCTCTCACGTGATAGTAATGAGTATGAATGTATCCGCCGCCTGATTGGCCTTACCTTTGACATGTATATCACTTGCGAACAA